GCTCCATCACTGGTCGCTTTGTGTAGGTTTTCTATGCACCGACAATTCTCTCGTGCTACAGGCTTCCTCGCTCGTGATCTTTCGGCTACGATTGCAGCGATATACAGAATGATGGATCTTGCATGTAAGTCAGCGGAGCTGAGAATCGCTCAGATGGGCAGGAGTCACACCTTTTTACATGACTTCTGATAAACCATAACAATGCAGCATATCCATCACATCAAGCAAATCATCCAATCACTCTCATTTGATCAACTGGATGGTAATCAGTTCAGCGATGTATATAAAAAAAGACATTGAAGCTAATACCGGAAATTCACGCATGCGCGGCAAGATCCAGGCAACAACGCCTAATTACCGAGCAATCCAGCAAAACCAAAGGGTTAACATTGTTTCCGCTCATTTTCCAACTGTCAATCTGGCACTAGCACGCGGTCAAGTGGTGTTTCCGTAATCAGACCACAAGACAAAGTCCAAATTGCGAGGACAGTACCTCATCCCATAATTGCCACGACTTCTTAGCCGCAATGATCACTGCTCGTTAAAGAGACAAGCCATTACCGCAACGATTCTGTCGCTTCAACGAGCTATCGGCTGAGCAATCTGTCATGACGAGAGCAAAGTATCCTGTTAAGCAAGATGAATTCATTTTTAGAGTTCCAGTGTCCCACAGAGCACCGCCGACGAGCTGCTTCTTTCTGGTGAGACGTTGGCTGGCTCTGGTTGCAGAGACAACGTTGACGACGAAGACTGCGTTTCGTTCATTCCTAACACCAGTGGTACGTTGACTTTATTCCAGATTGATATAATGCTTTGTCTTGTTGGTCTAATAATATTTTCCTTATAACATAGTAATAAACAAATGCAATAATTAGAAAAGCAACTGGTGGTAATGAAAGAAAATTAAACGGAGATATCAACATAAAACTGTATTTTCAAAAGACGATTATATATCGGGAACAGCATTTGCAAAGGAAAATAAGAAAGCAAAGTTCTGTGGTTCCTGAAATTTCTAAACGTTTCGATCATAACCTCGTATGATGTATTTCTCTACTCATGCAACACTTCTGATTTCGGCAGTTGTAGCAATTATGTCCTTTAATATGCTGTTGCTCGGCCCAGCAAACTGGCGCGACGTCTCCACGCTGCAGAAACTTAAATACCATAAATCCGTGACTTGTTTCAATGGTCTCCCTTGGCGACCAATGCAAGATGGTGACGCATAGTTGCAGTGAAACACAGCGCGAAGCCAATATATATATACGACCATCTCAACTATTAGCAATAATAGAAAATATTCAGCCATTTTCGAAACGGAAACGCAAGCATCTACAAAATAAAGTAGTATTTTTCAACCGAATATATATATATATAGTTGAGATGGTCGTAGATGTTAATCTTGACAGCCCGATGAATCATTTTCTGTAAACCCAATGCCTGACCGGAGTATATGATCATATTTGCGATATCTTCGAAATTAAAACATCATCTCTCATTCATGATGGACTAAAGAGAGCAAAACCCTACGAGATTCCTTTACTTGTCTGACAGAATCTCATATTTAGTAATCATTTCTCCCAAGGTTTATTGTTTGTACAGGCAGTAGTTGACGCACAACGTAGTCACATATTCGAACTCCACGCAGCCAGGAAATCGGATATGGCAATAGATTCGCAACATTGTGTGATACAGGCATTATTTTTAATTTTTTCTGTAAGCAATTGTTATCATCAGTAATTGTTCTGTGCTTCACAATTCGTGAAAGTACTCAAGATTACGTGGTATTATTCACGACTAAAGTAAAAAGGCTTTATCTCAATTGCACACGGCAAATAAAATTTACCAGGATTAAGGTTTTGGTTGATTTTCCATCAGTTGTGAATTGCAACAAATTTACTCCTATCAACATGTCCATCGTTTGGGCCAAGAAAGGAGCAGAAGGAGCAACTTGTTATATAGCAACTTATATTAGCTTATCATCGCTTGCCTCCTTCAAGTTAGTGTTCTTTTATGAGACGGAAACAGTTGCTCAAAAGAAATAAGAAATTTTGCTGATCTGCATATAGCGGCGTTAGTTTCCAGCCACGATGATGGCATTATTGCACACCACCTAAAACTGACTCCTCTTGTTTCAGGTTACGTCAAGGGCAGTGCAGATTAAGAAATTGAGGCTTGCCCTGCTGGATCCCATTGAGTATAAACCATTTACATTTGTTCATGAGCTTTTGGTGTGGAAGTCAAAATATCGACTCATCTGGGAGATCAACGCTCAACATGGAGAAACGCGGAAGAAGCAGGTCTTCTATCAGAGAAAAGTATTTTACTCTACAAGTTGAAAAGCTGCGAATGCAGCCAAAAACTCAAACCAGAGACGTTTTGCTTCCGTGAACAGGTGAAAGTGATGATCACAAACAACACAAATTATGTTAAAAATTTTATGCTAATAGACACCTAATCCTTCTTCGAACAATACCCTCTCTGAAATGTTTCTTTATCATTCAAATTAAAACCTGAAACGTTGTTTTTGAACTTGGTGATTAGTTTTGCACTTGGAGTAAATATGGACTTTACTGATTAAAAACTGTTTCAGGTATAGCCTTGTTGAAAAAAATGGGAACTTTGCCAGTTTATATAAATGGTTCATTTCATAAGCTGTCTCTTTTAAATCATATGCACCATCAGATGCAAAGCTCTGTTTGCATGGTTGCTTGTAGGACAAATGTTGGCACCTCAAGAAATATCTGGAGAAAAAACGTTGTAATCAGTCAGTCAATTTCGATAACCGGTTCTTCTTTCGGGTTGCGAAACAGACGAGTGATACAATGCCCCAACACTTCTAATCCTACGCGAAACGCTTAGCTTCAGCGGAACATAACCTGAGTCTAGAGCAGAGACTCTCAAAGCATGTCCCTCAGAGTTTTCTCGGTCGGCCCGTAAGTTTTCGCCCGATCAGTTGCACTAGTAGTGGCTATTTCGCATTCCTCTCTGGGAGTATTCATAAGATGCAGCAGAAGAATCGAGTATCCTGCTGTAATTTCCCAGTCTGGAGAAGCAGTACAACAGAACTTTCTCTAATAACCTCATTCTGAATCAAGCTTGTCCTCCACTGCTTGTCCGTTTACCTGCATGACACAACAGACAGGAGAACGAAAAATCATCAGACGTTTCGTTTGATACACGTTCTCGCCAACCGCTCCGAGATGCACTTGCCAGTTACCTTTGCCTGCAAAAGCTACGGACCAGATTCAGAAGATGCCAAGAAAACAAAATCCCTCATGAGCATGTCTCCTACGCTAAGACAGTCATCACCCTGATTGCGCCTGACTGACGTATCCTACTGTAAAACAGGCTGGTGCAAAGCACAGCCTTAGCAAGGATCAGTGTCAAAGTTTAATTGCATCTCGCTAACGCGGTTTATTCTGATGCATTTCTCGCTATCAACATATAGTGACTGCATCGCTCGTAGCAATTGATATTGTTTTTATATATTTGAAGGCATTCCGATTGCATGTCGCATGAGATTTGGTTATGGCCTTTCTTCAATTCAGCTAGGCATCTGCAACCGGAATGAACGAGCTGCCATGATTTCTCAACAATCTAGGTAAAGCGAAAATTTGGTAAGAGGTGCTTCGGCTGGATCGGAAGAGCCGGACATCTTACTCGGCTAATATATTAATGACACAAGCACTCACAGCAGTATTTCTTTTTGTACAGGGGTACAGCAACACCGATTCTCCAATACATAAGCGACTTCCTGGCAGCCATTGTTGTTTCACAAAGACTTGTTAGTCACAAAATGCCTTGTTCGCCCAAAGCATGCCGCACTTCACAGTGCATTTCATCAATTCCAACAGCCTTTCCACACTTCAAGCTTTCGACAGCTTGTGGAATTTCAGCTACAGAAATAGTAATGTCCGTTCCTTGGTTAACGACAG